GACCAAAACTCACTCAGTCCTCGTGTAATGCAAGAAACAACTTTCATTCAATTTACAAAACCTGAAAAATCCACAGAATTCTTCTCAAAGAAGTAGCTTATGGACTGAGTGAGTTTTGGCGCTTTGCTCTTCATTGGTCTTCTATGAATAACATTCCTGTCTTGTACTACGTGATCAACAACTTCCCTTACTTCCTTCCTCTATTTTTAGTTTCAGATACCATATAAATGTGAATTACCGAGTGGGAGAATCTCAGTACGAAAGTGCACCTTAACATTTGTTGACTGCAAGATTCCAGAGTTATTTGAAGAGAATTTATTACATTAGATACAGAGCCCCCCCCCCCCCCTCCACCACCCCACAATAGGATTTCAGCAGAAGAGCAGATAGTCAGTCAGTGCTGTCTGGCATACATACTTACCCTCCTGTTTAATTACCCACCCACCACAGTCTTGTCCCTTGAAAATGGAGCATGGTGACCCCCGCCCCATTCTGCTGGACTGCCTCTAGAATGAGAGGGAGGGACAAAAGTGGACAACCAGGTGAAATGGAGATTATTATCCAGCAGGAGACAACGTGCTAGAGATACAACCTGTTTACTTGACTGCAGTGACTTCGAGCTGGTTTGGGCTCCTACTAGCAGTTTGGGTCAAATGTTGGACCCAGCCCTGGTCTGCTGTCTCGTGACGTGCCTCTGGAGGGCGTCACACGATAGCAGCATGTGGGACATTCAGGAGCACCTCGGCCACAAGATCACAGGCCAGTTACCGGCATCAGCCTCTGCTTGGCCACTAGAGGGGGCTGCTACAGGCCATCCACAGTGAAGGAAGTGTGGGGAGTGGAAAAATTACCCTTAAATTTCCATCAGGCTGCTGCATAATTTCTAATATAAATAAAACTTGCATGAATATTTCTGAACCTTCTGTAGGGTAGCGTATTTAACTCCTATGTGTATCATATGTGTGATAGTTATAGAAAGAACTGCATAAAATGATGCTACCTGATCGACTAAGATAATTGCAAATTTGTTTCTTTTGCTGGTCACACTTTCAGATTCTACAGTTTCATATTTAAATTATGTGCCATTTTTTGTATTTTGTTTTTCCATGCAACTGTAAGAACACTTTGAAAAATTACTAAGTGACTAAATTAGCACTGGGCTCGTAATAAATAACAGCGGTCAAAATATGATGATTAAGTGTAGAATAGCTATATTCAGTAAAATGGATGGAGACACAGCTTTTATAGATGTAAGAGTTACAATGTTCACACAGTCTAGTACTGAACACCGCATGTACACATACAGTATTTACACAGTACAACACTGCCAGTAACTTAAGCGTTTACACAACTGCATTTACAGATAGTGTTTAGACAGTCTAGTATTGACATATACAGCGCGTAAAGTTACAGTTTTTAGATACTGTATTAAAATATTTACACAATACAGAATTTGCAATATTTACAGTTAGCATTTACAGATACTGTATTAAGTATTTACATAACACTACATAAATATTGTATAAAAACACAGACATTTATACATTATATACAAGATTTACAGAGCACATGATTTAGATATCTTTATAAAACATTTACATACCATACACAATGTAGGAGTATTAACGCAATACAGTATTTACAAAAACATTTATACCCCTTACAATGTGTAAGAGTATTTACACAGTACAGCATTCAGAAAAACATTTATACCCCTTACAATGTGTAAGAGTATTTACACAGTACAGCATTCAGAAAAACATTTATACCCCTTACAATGTGTAAGAGTATTTACACAGTACAGCATTCAGAAAAACATTTATACCCCTTACACAGTGTAGGAGTATTTACATAGTACAGTATTCAGAAAAAAAAATTATACCCTTTACACAGTGTATGAGTATTTACACAGTGCAGTATTTACAAAAACATTTATACCCCTTACACAGTGTAGGGATATTTACACAATACAGTATTTACGAAAACATTTATACCCCTTACACAGTGTAGGATTATTTCCATTGCAGAGTATTTACACAATACAATATTTACAGATTCCTGGATTTCAATTATTATTGCAGCTGCATGTCGCCTGTTAAAGTTTCAGGTATGAAAATCGTCTCTGCGTGATTCGCGGAAAAGCTGTTGCTGACTCAGCAGGGCATTCATTATCCAATCAGGGCGTGGGGCCCTAAATCAGACATGCCCATCTCTCGTACACATTGGCCCACTGAGGGTCCCCAGCTCACCTGAGCTGGTTGTCTTTTGAAAATGGGAGGAAACTGGAGGAATCACGTATGATGTTCGCTCAAAAAGACCCCGAATAGATTGTAGCCTTCAAGAGCCGAAAGGCAGCAGCCTTTCACTTACAGATAACGTAAAGTCAAATAATAATTTGCTTGGATGTTCTCCAGATACTCCAGCTTCCTCCTGCTATTAAAAAAAAGTACTCTAGATGAACTGGTGCCTCTAAATATGGCCTTATTGTGAGAAAGACCTGCGGTGGACTGGTATCCTGTCCAGGGGAGGGCATCCCCTGCCAATTACTGCCTGGAAGTAACGCTCACTGGGACGCACCATAAGTCTTATGGAAGATGGATGGATGGAAAAATAAACCGATTTCCCTTCTGCTCCCTTTTGAAAAAGATAATAATAATAATAATAATAATAATAATAATAATTTGGTTTTGGGAAAAGGAGTACAGTAAAATAAAAAAAATAGCCACCGCAAAAAAATCTAACTGAAACTAACACGTTAATTTTTTACTTACAGATATCAGAAGGTTTGCGATATTTATTCACATATTATACATATATGTATGAATCGCCTGCTTTTGATTACTTATTGAGACCGTGTCAATTTACAATCGGTACATTAAATGTTACAATATGTACGCTGCACTTTATTTTGTTTTTTTTTTTTTACATGTAAACAACTTTAATAATTTACGAATATGCCGTTAAATAAAGACAGTCTACTACATAAGTCTTCTTTGCAGCTGTTTAAAGTTAGCATAAAAAAGTTTAACCAGCGCTGATTTTTTTGCCTTGAGGTATTTTGAATTTCTTTAAGCATACTTAACTGTGATGTAACCACTTCTCCTGTAAAGGAAACGGGTCATCTTGACGATCTTGGTCCCGCTAAGTGACCAACTTTTTCCAGCTGTTCATCGCCGGTTGGAAGCGAGCTCGGGTATGGGCTGTAGTCGCACTTCTTTCGCGATCCCGGGATGTTTACGAAGGCCCCAAACTCCCGCATTTTATACCACACGACTGCAGTAAAACTAAGGTGTTTTCGAATCCCCACGCCTGTAGACGACACAGGGTTTGGTCCTTTTATACAGGCTACGGGCTGAGATGCGTGTCGAGAGATGACTGTTTCTTGATCTCTTATTTTTAATTTGCTTTTCGGATGTTTTACTGTGATGTGTTTTACACAGGGGTCATTCCGCCTTCTTTCAGACGGTTAAGTACAGAAATATTGTCCCTTCCGTAAGAACAAAGGTGAAAATAGGTGACAGTGTTCTCCTTAAGGTGTCAACCGGGATTTATCTTAACAAAAAATCAATTCTTCACAAAATACAATGGGCCTAAAAAGTAAAAGTGTATATTTATTCACGAATATTTTGTTTCATATTGAATATCAGCATTGTTCTATTGAAAGTTAGCCCACCATTACAATGCCGTAAGGGTTATATAGTCTATTTAAACTGAATTGAAACTTGATCATGTTGGAACGTGACTATTTAACAAGCTTTGACCTGACATTGTACATTATGACTGTGTACATATAGTTGCTGTATAAACGGATAAAAACCACAACTGTTTTCCTTTGGAAGGCCGATTAAAATTATTGATAACAGCCCAGAGCTACTGGTAAAGCGATTGCGTTCATGAATCAGATTTCAAAGGGGCTTAAGTGAATAAAAGGGGTTGTCAAGTGGTTACCAGAGTTTATTTGCTGAATCTTCAGTGGGACAAGCACAACTACAAATATTTGTCAGGTAACAATATGAGTTTACATAAGAAACAGTTCGTTTCAAATAACAAATACTTATATGCAAATTAACGTACTTTGTCTGATTGTCCACATTTCTTGTTAATGTATCTTCCTACAAGGTAAATTTTACATTTTAAAAACAGTATTCTTGCAGTTTTTAAAAGATGAATTAGCCATAATTGATGTAATAATGGATGTTTCAATCGCTGGCAAACAAAAACGTGAAGGAGGATCGGAAACATGAACTCCAATAGTAGTAGAGAAGCCCGCAAGGCAACAAAAGAGCAGCTCTTTGACAAGGACGCAACTCCATCAATTGTCACTTAACAGGTGCTTGATGTCGCTGTGACAGCTTCTTAAGTCGCACATCCAGAGTGACACAGGAGATTCTGCAAAGTGTACCTTCTCCATAAGCGTGTATGTCTCAATCGGGCTCGTATCTGCCCTGTCACGTTTTGCTTTGTCCAGAAAAAAATACACTAAGCAAAAATAGAAAATAAATAAAAAACAAAATACAATTAAATATAATGTAGAAAGTCCCAAAACATAGTTAATACACATCTTTATTTCTATTTTATTTTTTTCTGTGCAATTTGTAAAGTTTACCGAAACGTAAAAAAATATTGCCAAGAAATTTAAAAACAAGTAAAACAGCTCTTGAATAACTTAAGACAACAGCTAGTCAATTGCGCGCATTAATTTTATGCGGCTTAATTCCTCCCAGCTTATTCTGAATGTCACAAACAATAAGACGAATAATCGTTTTGTGATTTTTTTCCCGGAGAAATCTGCTCTCTCTTGCCCCGCTCCTCAAGTCAAACCGCTGGGTTCGCCAATGTGATTACGGCCGCCTCACAAAACTATGCGGTGATTGCTGTGGAGCAGTAGGATCAGAGGGGGGGAAACGGAGAGAGGGAGGGAGGGAGGAAAGAAGAGAAGAGGGAAGAGACTGCGAGAGGGAGGGAGCGAGTGAGGGATCGATCCGAAGGGAGGAGTCATGCTAAGGAAAGCGCAGCTGGGGCTGCCGTACTCCTTCTCAACTAAAAACACACTAAATACAGTATCAACACTCCAGCCATACTATATATTAGTGCACATATATGTTTTTAGCCCTAAGGTGCGTCGGCAGGATCCGTGCCGTTTTTAGTCTATGCCGAGTCCAGCTTTCCAAGCGGGAAGGTGGAGAATAAGAGGCAAAAAGAAGGAGAAAAAAAAACTTCTTTCGGCGAGCGGTTTCGGGACAGATTTTAGAAGTGAACTTCGCCAGAAGAGCGCAATCCTTTAGGCACGTCTTCGTCAAGCAGGAAAAGATATAAACTATTATTAACAATAAAGTAAGAGAAAGAAGACGAGAACGACGAGAAGGAAGGAAGAAAGAAAGAAGCACACAAGAAATAATAAAGAAAAGGCTCTCCGATCACGTAAGTCGCAGGAACACGATGGGTGTCGCTCCCGGAGCCACACGCGTCCTGGCACGTTAGAAAAGTTTCATAAAGCGGCTGCACGCTGTCACTTTAAAATAACCGAAATCAACTTTTCAGGCGTGCAAATGGGGCACGAAGCCCCGCACGACTCGGGCGCGACTCTGGAAAATAACTAACGCTCCTCAAACGCTAAACTACACTTTTCCAGAATAATTAACACTTTTTTATAACTACGCGCATTATTCTTAGGATGATTGCTAACGGGGCGAGAAAACACTAACTTTTTGTCAATGCAAAGTTAATGCTGTTTGTTTAACTTTTTAGTGCTCGCGGTTGGTTTCCATGCCTATTGTATGCTACAGTAAAGCGTCGATTTACACCGATGTGGGGAAAAAGTGGTTAAATGAAGAATATACCCGGTTTAACTAATAATAGTAATTTCGGGTCGATCGGACTTGCCTCATTATTGGAAAGGCAGGAACATGTGGTTAAAATAGTGGTCGCGCCACAAACGGTGAAAAAAGCAACTTACTGGAATTTGGCCCGAAGACGTGCAAAAGGGGGGAAATCTACATGTGATCATATTTCTGCTCCATTTCTCCGTAAGTCGTGACTGTTATCGATTAATTGCCAGCACTGATGGCGTTCATTTAGGGCCCAAGTTTTTTTTTTATTGATTTGTAAACGAAAGTCCAGATTTATACGCGTAGAGAAGCGGCGGGAGTCCGAACTGGCTGCTTTGCATCGTTTAACTTTTCAACAGAAGTGAGTAGCGGAGGTAATTGATAAGATTTTGATAAGGAGGATGCAAAGATGCCAGTTTTTAAGGGAAACTTTATATACGTTTTAAGATGAAGTTGACAGTAGTTTTAAATGATATAGTTTAATCCCATGAGGTAACCGGTACAGGTTAATCTATATTCTTATCGGTTTTGCTTACTTTTATTATTGGTTCGATTAGCCTTTTAAATAAGGTGCATTAATAAGGCGCCGGTTTCATTTTTATGGGTATTTTTTCCTTGCCCTGTCATTTGGCAGCCTTGCGCTCCATGTGTAGATATTTGTTTTAAAAATGTCCTTCTGCTCTACGCCAGCTGTTCAGCATTGTATGTAGTTTGTCGGATTGAGGGTGGGTAACTGTTTGACCGTTTATTTCTCGGGTTTCATCCCCACGATACGGACCGTGAGAAGAGGGGGCTCACAGCCGCGGGTCAGGCCTGTCGGCCCCCTTTAGCGATGGGTAATAATGACCTGGAACAAAGGCCAAAAGCGCAGAGCAATAAAAAAGTTAGATTCCAACAAACAGCATTTGGCGAATAATTTGTTTTTAAAAGGCACGATCTTTGGGTTACTTATTTTTCGAATTAAAACACACGCGCGGCAGACGGTACGGAACCTTTAATGACTTGGCCTTGTAGAGTATTTTAAAATTAAACGTTTATATTTTTTATATTCAGATTGCACAATTGTTGCAAAATATTTTTACATTTTTTAATTGTATTTTTTGTTTTAAAGAAGCTTACCTGGAAGGAGTAGATGAGCACGTTTAAAAATTGCAATGAATTACACTTCTAAGGAACAATTTAACAAATCCACTTCTTACCAAATCTATGTAGATTAGGCTACTTACATTGCTTTCATGCACCTTACTCGCAAATGGATGGCGGCTTTAAAATATTTAAGTATACAGGATTAAAAAAAGACCACAAATATTTTTACGTTCTTTTTATTTTTTTATATTGAAATAATTATTATTATTTTTTGCGCAGCATATATAAAGTGTATTTTAATTACAGTAATACATTTACGTAAATGTATTTAATTTCAGATGCATACTTCAACCAGTTAATGATAACACATTTTTCATTAAAAATGGACGGTGATTAACTTAAACGCGTCTGTCCAAGGCGCTTGTCATTCTTACCTATAAATCGTATTGAACTCATGTTAGAAAAAGTCTGTTAGCAGTGATTAAGCCCCCGCAACACCTGTCTGCTGTTTTATTTGCTAAATTTTAAACGAAAGTCTGGAGTTCCTATCCCAGTGAATCTCCAGAAGTTGCTCACAATCTTTTAACTACTCTTCGTAACTTAAAATATTCATTTCACAATTCCCTATGTTTGAGCGGATCTGTGAGATTTTCCATATAAAAGAAATTGGGTGTATCGTCTTTTTTAATGGCGTGATTTTTATGAATTGTGGAAATTTACCTCTATGAATGGGACATGTTCTGAATTACACAAAATTGGCCGTAAGAGTGTGTAGCAGGCGCTGGGAATGATACGCTCATTACCGTTGATTATATTGCTATGGAGTATGATTTAAATAAGCGGGCCTGTGTGGACGTGGGCGGAATTGCTTATTAATTCAATCACATTAAATATAAATGATATCTGATGGATGCATCCATCATGATGAGTAGCTACCCTGTTTCTCAGTGACCACAACACAGTTTCCGCCAAGAAGGGGTGTCAGATATGAAGATGGAGGCGTACTTTGCCCGAAAAGGCCGACTTAGTCAACCTTAGGAGGGAATCCAGAAATTCTGGAAGGATGAGAGATGTGTTCATCAAAAATTTCAGCGTTCTTGTGTTTCTCTCACTTTTTTGTGGGTACATTTTTTTTTTCTTTTTCATTCCAGATGCTTGCCTCTGCAAACACGCACACCACACTCGCGCACGCACACACACACACACACACACACATACACAAACAGATTACCTTAAATCACAGTGGTGTAGAAAGCAAGGGGGAAACTTTCACAATAAAACAGTTAGTTAGATAGGAGCGGCAGTGAAACTTAATCTCCGTCACCTTAGCGTGGGGTGTTTGCATTCTGTGTGCCGGTGCAGAAAGGGTCGGGGGCAGCCACATCCCGCGGGGGCAGGCCGGTCGAGCGGGCCATGCGTCAATGAGTTGTGGCGGCGCGCGATCGACAGCGGGGGCCAGGCCTGGCTGCTGCTCACGTGGCTCACGTGCTGATAGAGGGGCTTCCTTTTTAATGATCCTTTTGGTGACACCCTACATGAGAATGTTACTGGGCACGGAATGTTACTGGGCATGGAATGTTCCGTCGTCATGGTGCCGTCATGGAGACATCATGAGTTTAAAAAACAAAAAAAGGTGGGATGATCATAATCGGCAAGACACGGCAAGGATCCGCAATTCCTTTTGGACTGGGGAACTTTCCGAGTAATCTTGCATTCACTGCATCTGATGTGACGGATTTGGATAGCTAGGTCATTAACATGTAATTTAAGAAACACACAGACATACATATATGTACACACACGTGTGCGTGTGCACGCACACAGGTCCAGTGCATATAGTGCTGCTGTGATATGCAAGTGGGTCTGTCCTCAGTGTCTAGTCCTGCAAACCAGTCGGTATTTTTTTTATAAAAATAAGGCACCACGTTAGATATACCATTTACACACCTAGTTGTAGTTTTACTTGTCACCATTGAGGCCCAGTGAATGAGGCGCGTGGTGAATATTAGGGACAGGCTGAGGCCTGGGGCGCCCTGTCTCCAAGCGGCCTGGCACGGGACCTGCCCCCCTACCGAAACGGCACCACAGTCGAGGAAAAGGGGGCGAAGAAATGAAATGTTACACTTTGATGATTTGTAACTTTGATATATCGACATCAAAAACGGGACAGATTGGGAAGCAAGATGGAGTGATTGGGGGGCATGCGGTAGTTCGTTTGGTGTGGGAGGGAGTCATGGCGATGGGGAGGTGTGGCGTGGTGTCTCATCGCATTTGCGTGGGGGTGGGGGGGATGATGGGAGCTGGGGTCCCCCCCCACCGTTAATCCCAGCGCCCGACTAGCCCTTTAGGGCATGGTACGGCCGCCCCCTTGCCGTTAGTGGATTAAATATGCTATGTGTTCCCCCCCCTCCACCACACTCCTGCACCTCCTGCCCTTGTAAGGCTGCTCCAGAGTGGGACTCGCCCACCCCCCCAGGCTGTTAAAGGCACCTTTGAGAGCTGCTGTCTTGGGAGAGTCACCAATGGTTAAGGGTTGGGCTGGGCTGGGGGGGGGTGCAGATAGGGGTAGCTGATGAGGAGAGTTGTGCCCTCGTAAAAACGTCTACAGACTTACCGCGGTTATCATTTTTGTTTGCTAGTTACAAGAAACCAGCAGCACGGGTTGGGGGGGGGTGGGGTTGGCTTTACCAGCTTTTCGCAAAGCGGTGGTTTGTTTTCCCTGGCTCCCTCCTGGAAACTGGAACTGCCCACCGGACCCACCAATTAGTTCTGGGACCCGATGGAAGTGATCCGAAGTGGAGATGAAGGACGGTAGCTCTGGGGGTGAGGAGGTGGAGAAGTTGGGGGGGGGCACGCGCGATTTCTCCCAGCGAAACCATGAGAGCCGCTCGGGTCGACCCCATTTGTGTGCCTCTGAGGTCCCAATGTGACACATGACGGCAAGGTGAGTGTGATTGGGAGGGGGGTCCTCAAACTTAGGCCCTCGTCAGTGGGTTTGCAGACCGACCGTCACGTCCTGATAGCGCCTTTCCTTACATTCCGATTGTGTCGTCAGTCTGCGATATGTGACTTTCTATAAAGAGCTTATTATAAATATCTTCGGAGTTTATTACTAATCATATAATAATTGATACTTTATTGATACCCGTGGGGACATTGTCTTTACGTCTCCCCCAACTTTCTCTTTTTTTAAACTTCACTGTAGATGCACATTACAATATACATACGTGTATTTTGTGGCTCTAATAAATGGTAAAAATAAATGTATTATTTTGAATTTGGATCGTTAGTATAAAAGTAAGATTATCTTATGTAATAGTGCAAAGAAACTCATGCTAACAGTTATTATAAGTATAATATAGATTTATTTGTTTAAAGCCCAGCAAAATTACTGTCACACCTTGAAGGCCAGCAGTACGTTGTTTCATTGTGTTTCTTAGTATTTATTAATATTTGCATTCCATTGTAATTACTTCCAGCCGGCTGAAGTGGTCAGAAACTGTTCCG